GGAAAGAGAAAAGAGAAGCTGGATCTCATGTGGGGATCTGACTGGCATCTAATCTGTGTAGCTATCCAGATTTGAGAGAGAGCTGATCAGCCTTCTCAGAGGGAGGAAGCGAAAAGCCACCTTCTAGAGGGGTAAATTATATTAAAGTCATGCAGTGGAACAGTCCATGGTTTGTGTATCTCCTGCAGTAGGTTTGGAAGCCCCTTGGCTGTGTAGCACGGCTGGGCCCTGCTTGGCAGGCAGCACTTTCCAACCATAGACAAAGACCTTCTGAAGGTCATGGTTTCTTTCATTTTGTTATTTAAGGCAGGCAGTGTGGAGGCAGCAAGGTCTTATTTACTACCCGACATGGCAGTGCCTTTGGGGGCAAGGCTAACAACACCAGACAGATTGTCTGGTGGGGGAGCCTGGAGGAGGAGAGAAATGAAAATGTCAGTGAGGGAATGAAATTTAAAGTTGGGGGAGGAAGAATTACAGGGCAGGCTGTGACTCCAGCCCTGTGTGGTACCCAGCTCAGCCCGTTGCATTGCCTCCGCCAGAGCAGTCAGTCCTCTTGGGTCTGCTGCCATGCAGGCTGTGGTGTTCCCTCTTGCCAGCTCTGGTTGCTGGTTGGAGTTTGCCCTGGGGCTGACAGCAGAGCTGAGGTGGCATGGTGGTTTCTGTCCCTGTGGTGTTGGTGACCAGCTTTTCCCACAGACTGTCTGTGGGCTCTGGGGGTGCAGCCACTAATCCTTTTTGTATTCAATCAGAAGTTGCTGCTGGGTGTATTTTATATATGGGTGTGAGTAAGGGTGTCTGGTATGGTCCCATGGCCTGGGCTGATGCTGGTTTCTTAAGTTCTAATGAAGGGTTCTCCAGCTTGTCTGGGAGATGGTCACCACTCTTCTTTCTGTGAAAGCCACTTACTGCTGCTTCCGTTGCATTTGCAAATTGCACCATGATCTTTTAGTGCAAAGCAGGAAAAGTCTACGGTGAAGTCTGAGGCTGGGGGGGCCTTTCACAGTGTGGCCGCCTGCTCCCTGCAGTGCCAGGGCCGGCTGGCAGCCCACCAAGGGAACACTCCAGCCCTTGTGTGTAACAATCCCTGAGTGCATCAAGTGGCCATCTGCAAACCTAGCTTTTCAGTCCTGTAAGAAGTGACATTGTCCAGGAGCCAAGGGCTTTGGGTCCCTGCCAGATTAGCAGCTGGATCTCAGACTTGTCTCTCTTGTGGTGCTAAACCTTGGAGCACTTTTGGTGAATGGCATTTCTGAGCTGGGAGCTGTCTGGTGCACAAGCACGATGTCAAACTTCTCGAACCTGGAAAGAGGAGGCATGAGAGCCAGAGGAATTACCTTTGGGATAGTGGATTGTCAATAAGCACCGTTATCTTGCCTCCTGCATCAATATGTATGTGATGTGCTGTGTGTCCCTGAGTAGCATTTCCTTTTGTAGCCACAGTTTTTCATGCATCAAAATGAAAAAGGGGTCGTGTTGAAAATGCCTAGTACTCTCTTCTTGCTTCAGGCTTGGTTTCTTTCCAGTCCTGAGAAAAGATCTGGGTGAAGCTAGCACAAAACAGGAGGCACCTGGCCTGGGTGCTGCAGGTGCCTGTGGATAATGGGAATAAAACAGGATGTTGTGGGTAAATGCAACCTGCTCCGCAGGGGAAACCCCCTGTGCCTGAACTGTGGGAGCGTGTGCTGGCACTTAGGGCTTGGTTAAACATAGATGAAGTCTCCTAAGAATGAATCACAGTTATACCCTGGAGCTCCCATGTCTCAAGGTGGTTAAAGACAAGTAATAGCAATTTTCCTTGCCTCAAGTCCTGATAAGCAAGTCAAACACAGAAGGAGGGTAATTATCCCCATTTTGGAGATGAGGGGACTGGTGCAGTGAAGGAATGGGTGCTGGCAGCTTGGAAAGAAAAAAAAATACCCCAAAGCTGAGCAGACCTTAGCCAAGCAGAGTAAACACTGCTGGTGGGTAAACCTCATCCCACTGTCGATCTCTTCTTCCCTCTGAGCCTGACATCTGAACACAAAAGCAAAGGAGAAATAAAACCCTTTCACAAACAAAAATCTTGAAAGTTGATCAAGGCCGTGCTATTGAGGAATAAAAGGGATCTGACAGACCAGAGCCCCTCGAGAGCTCTGCTGCACTTTTTGCTGTCTTCAAAGGCAGGCTGTTAGTCTCACATCACCGTTACAGACCCTGGCTTTGTATTATTGCTTGGAATATAATCTTCTTGGCTCAGAGGAATGTACATATTTGCATTCAGGAAATGGGGGCTGGATATCATATTTTTATGTTTCAAATTTACTTCAACACTTGGCATTGAGTAAAATTTAACTGGAAGAATATGCTGCGTGTGCAGCCCTGATGGGCTTAGGCTGCCTGGGGTTTCCTGATGGATTGAGCACTTCTTAAAACCTTCATCCTAAAAATTGCCTCATTACATTTATTTAACTAAAATTTGGGGGAATTTCTGTATGTCATCCTTATTAACTGAAGATACTCAGTGAGGGATGTGGACTGTGGCTGGTTTGTGGACTGGCAGGTCAGGTGCTGAACATGTTAATATTTTTGTAGTGTAACCTTCTTTTGAGCAAGTACAAGTGTGCAAGAAGCCTAGACGTGACCGAGTGGAGCAGAGGCCGTTGGCATTTCCACCCTCTGCCCAACATCCTGGAATTGGAATTTTTTCAGTTGCTGCTTCTGCATCTGTTCAAACCCTGGTGTGTTAGTTTAAAAGGTTGTGAAATGTAACATATTTTTATAATCTGATCAGGTTTTTGAATATAGATTTTTTATTTATCCTAATGACAGTTTCATAATTTCTCATGACTCCGAGCTGTCTTAATTAAAATCAGTTTTGGAGGCAGAGTGTTCTCTGGAGTCACTTCTTGGCTGTGTCTTTGTGGAGCTCTTCGAGGAGCTGTATTTCCCTTGTGCTGTATTTCTCAGAGGCTGCTGCATGCCTTTGCTGTCAGTGGATGAAGATACCTTCTTTGGAAGGCGAACTCCCCAAAACAGAGCCAGCTTTCTTCTCATCACCACCCTTTGCTTAGCTTGGCCTGACTTGTCTGTGATCCTGTTGTCTCATGGCATTTCCAGCCCTTTTTGCCGATGCTGTAATTTGATGGAGTTGGCCCCACATCATCATAAATCACAGCCCGGCTGGTGGAGTAAGATCCATTGATTATATCACTCAATAACAAGCAGTTACCACTAATTGGAAATCACCATCAAACTGGATATCGGATCAGGCTCTGCACGTATCTGGTCTGAGAGCAGCAATTTTCCCTGTTTGATTTGGTGCTATAATATTAAAAAAAAAAAAAAAAGAGGGAAAGCCAGTCAATTGTGCATCTTTGAGCCAAGGAGATTTCTTGAAGCTTGGTGAAATGGACCTGACCAATACTTGAAGAACAGTGGGATCTCAGAATAACTCTGGAGAGATCTGGGTCTGTAAAGATGATTTCTTCGTTGTGTTTTGCTGTGGGGGGACTGTTTTGTAGCCAAGTTCAGCACCATGCATCCCTTCTGTGCTTCTTTACACCCTTCCCTTCTGCATCCAGCCCCAAATCCTGCTCCTCCATCCCACTGTGCCTGGCCATCCATGGCACTCACCCTGCTGGCAGGAGGGCAGGATTGATAGCCCGGACAAGGCAGATGTTATATCTCTTCTCTGCACTGATCCCTGCAGACAGCAGCAGCAGCAGCTCCTCTCACCCAGCCTGGGGCCAAACATCCTCTCCCCTCAAACACACTGGCTGCTGCGACCTTCAAGCCAAGGGTCTCAAGGTCATCTGCAAAGTATAAATAGAGGGGGAGGTTTGTGCATATGCATGCTTGCAAAGTTGGTTTCCCTGCCAAGTTGTGTGGCTGGGGGAGGAGGTTGGGAATTGCGGGGATTTAAAAGCAGGAAAGATCTTCCAATCATTTCAGCTTCTCTGCACAGAATATATTCAGGGTTTAACCTGCAGCCTCCTTTCCAGGCTCTGGGGTGGTGGGAAGAGCTGCTGAGCCCAAATAATGGCAGCATTTATAAGACTGTAGAGACAAGAAGGAAGTCTAAAAGGATTAAGGAGAGACAAAGGGGCCTGATTATTTTATGGGTCACAATACAAGGCATTAGAGTGAGATCACAAAGGGATGTAATTACAAAAGAAGGCCATACTGGGGGGATCAAACCAGGATTAGAGTGGGAAATGTTTTTACACAGTTTTGTTCCACTCATTAGGAAGTTAGCATTTTAAATTAAGGTTTAAATAAGGTGGCACCAAAGTTGTCACCAAGGTATTTCCTGGGCAGTGCCACTGTTTGGATGCTGATTGGGAGCTGCTCAAAACATCAGAGCAGACCTCAAACACGTGGGTTTGCTGTTGATTTTCCTACCTAGAGCTTGTGGTGAGATCAAGGGAACCTGTTTCTGCAGTTGGAAGTGGAATACTTTGTGAGCACACGTTTCTGTGGTGTGAAAACGTGCTGAAGGTAAAGGGATGCTTTAAAGCACATGTCTGGGTGTGGGTTTGTAGCTTTAGGGACTTGGTCCTGTTACTCCCAGGAGCTTTAGGCTAATGGTCACTTGCATTTTTTTGCAGTTTAAGCACTGGTGTTTCATGCCAAGTTTCCTCCATCCACAAACAAGATTTTCTTTCGATTCTTTTTGGTGGTTCTGCTTGCATTTAATGCCCAAATGTTGAGCGTAAGGGCTCAGTCCTGATGCCAGTTATGTTTCTTTATTGTCATGGTTCCTGGTCAGCCCAGCCCAAGTTCTGGGCTTGTAGCAGTGGGTCTCAGAAAGGGAAAATACTCATGAGGAATTA